CTTCAGAGATATCCGTATAAATATGTACCTATCTAAGATTTAAGTATTAAAAAAGACAAAACGAACATAGCACATGATTGAAGCATGCGCAAATCATATTTCACTCGTTTTTTATTTCAAAACATGTATGCTCAATTGGTACCAATTATTAAATGCAACAAGATATTATGAAATATAAAGTTTTAATAAAATCATATTTTTTTATATTAAATTTGCAAAATAATATTCTGGTTAGCTTAATTACGATCTATCGTTCTTTTTCTCTTTTCCTTTTGTTAACAATTTTATTAAATTTATTTGTAAAAGTAAGGATATTTTTTGTTATATTCTTTTTTAAAAACTTTTATTTATATAAGACACAATAAAAGGCTAGAAATTGATACCAATTAAGTATGTATCAGATACTATGACTCAATCACAAAAATCAGTTTTCAAACTCTACATTCTTTGTCAATCATACATCATACATGTCATACATGTCTATCTAATGGCTAAATACTTAACAAACAACAAAGTAACAAACAAAGTAATTTACGTGATATTCAAATCACATTCAATTAAATATTTCGCAATTTTCATAAATGCATCAATTGCAAAAAATGTGCAAAATGTATTTATGCCTTTTAAATTGCGGCGACTAGAATAAAATAAAACAAGCATATATTTTATTTTAACACCAGATGACCGAAAGTCGCATACTTTCGAAAAGTTTCTTCTCATACGAAAAAGAATAGTTAATTATTACTCGATTGTGGAAAGAACGTATGAAAACCAATCCAAGATTATCCATATCTAATTTACGCTAGTTTATACAGCAACATACACAATGTAGAATACCGCTAATCAAAAATACGGTATTTGCACGCATCACCGCATATAATATTTAAGAAAAATTTCTGCTTAATTATCCTAATGACTTATGCCGATAGCCGTGATCTATTCCGAGCTACTTTGGCTGCGAGAACGCCTCAAGATGCTTGTAAGTTTTATTTGCATCAAGTGTTACTTTTACTTCTATGTAGGATAATCTTATCGTCCTAAACGAGAAATATTTCGCATACGTGTCTGCAAAATGGATCGACACGATCGATCTTTTTTACTTTCTACCACAGTCGGTCGGATTGTTCCACTTGCATCGAAATCGATGAGATATCCGTGATGAGCAATGTTACGAATTACAAATTTTCTGTGATGCAATAAATATTTAAAAAAAATATTTTTAGCATAAAAATGAATTAAAGATTTAATTACAAGTTTAGCTGAATGCCGATTCACAGCGTATCGACGTTGCATGAGTGAATATATTTGAATGGCATTCATTCAAGGCTTCTTACAATATTTACGTCGTTGGTGGGAAATGTGAATAAAAATTTGTGATACTTGTCGCATAAAGGAATACTTTCAATTTCTAAAACTGTCTCAATTATCTTTGAAAAGCAAACCAATTAAACGTTTTACAAAATAATAAATATAGTATATCAAGTTGAGCGAGAAATGTATATAATGCATATGTTAAAAAAATATAATTATGCTACAGCATTTTAAATTATACGTATAATTTCAGTCAAGCCAAGTTTTTATTCACATCTTTAAACAGTCATTTTATTTAACCTTCTTTTTTTCTTGGTTAAAGTTTATCGTGTGATATAGATGGATTACTTGTGCGTACAATATATATATATATATATACATTGTACACACATACTATGCACACAAAATGTTTTTTCTTTGGTATGTATTGTGTATCTTTGTGTAATGTGTAGTTTTGCGTAACTTCAGTAAAACGTATAAACGCATCGCAAAACTACGCGCCAGATGGTCGACGCGCTTCAAAATCAAAAATTTTCCTAATTAATGCGCGTAAATATCTTCTAATTTTGAATCATAAATCAAAAATTTCTTCAGAACGCTTCGTTTCTACGTTAGTTTGTCTAATTTAATTACGTGATTGATGGTAAGTATCACTACGTTGATCGTTAAAATCGCTTCAGCTATATCCATTGTCGCGTGATAGACGACGGGTTTCAATTTCTAACAATTTCACGATCAAATTCGAGATTGCCGAGCTGCATCCATTACAGATCGCCCTTCAGCGATCATAAATTATGGTGAGTACATTGGCTATTACGATCGACGATCGAATTAAAATATATATAGTATATATATTTATATCCATGATCAGCTGCGAAATTTTATTAAAGCCCCCTTCTTGATTATCAGTGGATTGAGCTGTTAATAATATTATCTGTCAACTGATCATAGATTATTTCGCTAGACAATCGTTAATTTTATTCAATGAGAATTATAATGATCATCATTGTTCCCTATAATTAAATACTATGAGAAAAGACAAATCTCTGCTTTAGATATATCAATTATTCTCGATTATAAGAAATATTCGATACCGTGTCGATCGCCGATCGTCGATTCGACATAGACTTAGTTTTGGGGCCCGGGAGGAATCGGTGCAGGGATTTAAGGCCCCAGGGCTCTTTCACTCTATTTCGAGTGCACTTTCTATGTTGGTCTCCTCGTCCCACGCGATTGTCTCGCGCGTCTACTAGTGTCGTTGAGCTGATTCCGCGAATGGGGAATTTGTCCTGCATTTGTATACTGCATGGACAAGAACACCGGAAGATCATTTTGAATCGCTTCTGTTAGGATAATCAGGATAGATTATCCTAACTACCGTTAGAATAATCGTTTGTTCAAACGATTTTTAAACTACGCTCGAACCTTAATTGAGCGTTCGTGATAGATAATCCTCTCTGCTAATTGAAAAATGGTATATAAATATTAAAAGAAGTTCATCCTTATCGCTATAATTTTGGAGTTTGGCAAACAATTTATGTCCAGAATTAGAGTCCATTGAAGATATAGATGAATAGAATGTGTGTATGTGTGTGCATATAAAGAGTTTTGATTAACAATAATTAGTTGTACATTATTTTTAAAATTATTTGATTAAAAACAGTTTAAATTCATGTGTTAGAAAAATTATGGAAATGTAATTAAAATCGATAAATCTTTTGCTTTATATGTTCTTGATTATATTTGACTTTATCGAAAAGGTTCGAGAGTAAGTTCTATAATATTTTGCGTGAAAAATGTATCGTGTTGATTTGATTAAATATATGAACCACTTTGAGTAGTGTACTTAACGAGGAGTACCGAATGCAGTCAAGTATGTATTTTACATTTTTTACAAGATTATTTCATAATGTTATTTTTCTTTCGTATAAAGTAGCGTAAAAGATGTTATGTAACGTGCATCTCGAAATGATGCGTGCAGTTTGTCATGGTCAGCAATTATTACGGTGAGCATTTGACACGTTTGGCATAGTATGCTTAATCGTTATGACATGTTGACACGTTTCCTCTATATAGCATAGAGAGTTCTTAAGCATTCGTTATTAGACAAGTACGTTTCAATGGTGTTTGTGCGTGATAAGATAATTCGGTAGTTGGTATGATTAACGAGTAGCGTGATTCTGCAATCGTAGATGACATCAGAATAGTAGAACGTGATATGATCGGGGCATTGATTGGCGAAGCGAGACACGACATACGAAGGTGAAGATATGTTTCTATATATAATGGTATTCATCCAGCAATGCCCAAGAATAATGCTCTTGCTTTCGATTCTTTGCAGTTTGATGATAAGCGATTTAGATTTATCGGAATGAAGATGTCTTGATAATCACACATGCACGCTATTGATGACATTGCACATCATAAGAAGAAGAAAAAGAGAAGAAGAAGAAGAAGAGATTTCAATGTTTTATCATCAAACCGTTGTTGATTCATTATTAATAAAGTATAATTATACAATTGAATTGATTGCGAACGTTATTAAAGTATTCGGTAGTGTAAAAAGGAATAATAGCAGCAGTATAATATAATAGTGTATTATTACGGATGTAAAAGCTTTCGGAAGATAAGAATGCACGCTTCGAGCATGCCAAAGAATTCTCCAACGATTATCGCGCAACTGAATCACGTTCTCTAATCAAACGGCAATAAAATCTGACAATTGCAATTTATTTATATGCTTTCTAGCGAGCAGCGAGCGCAAAGAAAAATGTAAGCGCGAAATGTTTTTCGAGATTAGCGTGCACGCTGCCGGCGACTGATAGCGAGATTCCTTTGTTGAACAGATACGCGGAGATGAATCGTCGACGGTTGCGAGATCGTCGAGGTGCGTCCGGATAGAATCGATATATATGGTAGCATATCTTTTTTTAGACTCGTTGGTAGTGTGTGCTGTTGTCAGCCGATCTGGATTTCTGTATTCTTCTTTTCTTTCTTAGCGTATAAAGTAGCGCGACAGGAAACAGCCCCACTAACAGAGCGCAGCGATCTTATCGCGAGGTAGCGTTGCGCACTTCCTAGCGTTCGGTAGCGTTACCGGGAGGCGAGCCCGCTAAAGGGCGGTGGTGCGCAGGTGGGGACAGCGCTGAAGCGACAGGCCCCGGGGCCCCAGCTCCTAAATAGCATTAAGAGCACGCGAGTCCTGCTGCTGGCGACGTCTCGAGGCACCATAATCGACGCCGTGTTCCTCCTCGCCGTAGTCGTGATCCATGCGATCTCCCCGATCGCGATCCATCCGCTCCAGCCGTGATCTTCTCGTTCCACCGCTGACATCTCCAGCGCCGTAACTAGCTCCTGGATCAGGATACGGAACAAGATTAAAGATACGTAATTTCAAAAAACAAAAAAAAAAAAAAATAAACGAACGTTATTCGAACGTTAAAATCTCGCTCAAGCATAGCTTATAATTTTTACACACTTTAAATCTTTATTATTCCTTTAAAAAATAAATTTATTGATAACAACGATTAGAAGATATAATCTGATGTAATTTTTAAATTAAAAAAGATTATTAGTAACAAAACATAAGATTGTATATTTATGTAATCATAAAATTTTGTTTATAAATTTGTTTTAAATAAAGAAAAATTTTTTATCTTAGAAAATAATTGATTGAACACATTTAAACTTTATCGTCAAGCTGTTTAAAAATAACATCACTCAAACTCTATTCTACGGACAAATGAACATCATCCTGATTACTGTTATGAGTAACAACGACAAATTAGAATTACATCATTCCAATCAAATCATTCCAACATCTCACGCAAAAACTAAATCCATGCAAGCTCTAAGCAAAAAAAGATTAAAAAAAAGAAAATACAGCGCAAAGACTCCGACGTTCAAACTACCGTTGCGCAGGAACGCAGAAATCGAGAAGTAGAAGAATGTATTCGTGTACTCCTTGATGAAGCGTCATTGACAGATGAAGTAATTTCGGAAACAAGGAATAGCGATAAATCACGCGAAATGATATAGATCGCATACGATCCACTTTGAGGGTAAAGAAACCTTTCATAATCACTTCTGTCCTCTCGACTCACGCGGCTATGTCGTTAATTTTTCTCGTTAGATAGTATCTATTCTATAGTCCTATTCTATGTAAAAAGGGGTTGGTGAAGGGCTTGCGAAACATATTAAATAAAATATTTGGGCTAGGCTTCCAATCTTGATAGGTTAAAAGTTTCTACACAAAAAGAGCTTAATGGAGATATTATTTATATGTATTATATTATATATTTAATTAACAATTAAGTATTTTAAGGTAAAAAAATTGAGATTCATGGAAATAAGATAAGATATTATAAATTAGAAAATAAACTAAACTTAAATTTATAAATTTATAAATAACTAATAAAATAAAATATAGGAAATTTATGGATGATTTATGAAATTATGAAATTATTTTATAATTATAATAATTTAATATTAACATTCAAACACTTTTAATTTTAAAGAAAAAGCATTGAATAATTTGCAATTAAATAGAAAGCATATCGTGGCCAGAAGTTTAGCCAAAGTGAAGTTTCATTGAAATAAGGGTAAGAAAATAAAATTGGATGACAATGGTGTAATTGCGCTAATATAATAGCAATCAAATAATTATCAAATAACCTTTTCTAATATTTGAAATAATCAAAATATTAAAAAAAATTTTTAGTAAATAAAATTATGTAAATAAAATTATTAGTAATTGAAACATATGAAGTAAAGTCGGGGAAAAAAATTAAAATAGGTTTAAATTTGGGAAATCATATTTTTGCAATTTTGTATTTAACAATAAATTTTTTAATGTAGACTAGAGATATGATCATAAGATTTCCCTTTACGCCAAAATCTTACAATTTTACCATGATAGGAAGGCTTTGATTGCTGTCTATAGCGAAAGACTCCATCGCATAAAGAAGGATAAAGTAATAGGAAAACATAAATCATTTTCTCTGCTCGGGAGAAATTAAATCGGATCGATTCCGTGTTTCTGGGCCCATGCACCAAACCCATCTGTACTTACTACGCGCCCTTATTTAGGTATCTCTATATACAGTCTCTTTAATTCTTTCAATCCTATCCACACCCGGGATTAAATATTTACGGGCCGGGCGGAGCGTACAATTCGGCCAGTTTATGCCGCATAAAATCGCATCTGCGATGAAGCAGGAAGTAGAAATGGCCACACAATGACAGGGTGTGTCCCGCGCTCGGGCCTTCTTAACTCGAGTGTTTCGTCTTGCTCTCGTGGTCACCGCGACCATAGTTGGACTGTTTTCGGATGACTCCCGTAGCAGCCACCGCCTCCACTTTTACACGTAAACAAAGAGAACATCGGAGTCAGAGCTCATTATTGATGATAATCGAACCGATAATCTGTGCGTGCCTTCCTGTACGCGGCACTTTCGCAGGTAAAATTTTTTGCACTTATAATAAAGGGTTTCGAAATTAACGAGTATAAAATGAATTCGTAAAAAAGATAAATAAAAAAGAAATAATATCAGATGTAGATCCCTCATTAGATCCTCCTCTCACGCGATCGCGTAACTGCGTAATAGCTTTGGTGTTAATTCTGCATAATTTAAAAGCACGCGTGGATTTAAAAAATTTTTTGAAATATTCTTAATTTGCCTAAAACACGAATAAAAAATAGATTAAATTATAAATATTTAGTATTGGACAAAATCAATAAATTTTACATGTTTAATATTTATAAAAAGAATATTAAAATTTTTTATACACTAGACACTTACATTTACAAATATTTTTATTATTCTTTTTCTTCCTTTAAACATGTTAATATAAATTTTAATAAAAAAATCCACTCGTGATCGGTGACAAATAGCGCAGTGCACGAAGTAAGTTGCAATTACATAAAGTAAGCATATTTAATGATTAAATATGTCAAGTAGAAGGTAGGAAAGTTTTTGCTGACTGTACGAAAAAGTTGGGGAAGCGATTACACATAAAATAAAAACGAAACGTAAAATTTTATTCGCACTAACGGAAAAGATAAACGCGCCTCAGTCTTACTGCATTGGGTACAAGTTCATATCGACTTGTACGTTTGATCTGTACATCGGCACTGAAAAGAAATACAACGTAGAATAATATTGATCCAATGATAAACGATTACACAATGCAAAGACCACTTTAGTCATCAGTATTGCCTATTCGGCGGAATAAAAGTGGAATAAAATGCGAAATTAAAGAATTAAGCCATAAGAGCTAAGCCATATTTTGTGATTAACATACATCCTCTTTATAGAGATAACTGTTTAATATATAATTACAAATAAATTAAAAATAAAATTATACATCAAAGTCCATCTAAGATACATGCATAAAAGAATTGTACATTATTAAAATAATTTATAAACAATAAGCAAATACATTCATTAATGTCCAAATTGTATTACAACAAATATTAATCCCATATAATTAAGAAAAAATTATTCAAAAATAATGTAAATAAAAGAATTATATAATTTTTTTCGAAAATATAGTATACTGTCATATTGGTATAAAAATCATGTAAAAAATTGTATTGTGAAATTAATACCACATTAAAATAATAGAAATTCTCAAATGTGTATATTGTGATGTATAAATCTTATGATAATTAAATTGTATTGACTAATTGCTGTTGGTAGATTTTTGAGAATAGGATTCTATTACCTAAAATAATTGCATACAATGTCAACATGCAAAATGCTAAATAAAGATAAAGACAAGATATACGGAGAGTGCAAAGATATACAAAAGATATGCTTGAAAATATTAGGTTACCTCTCCGATGATAGTAAGGCTCATGAGGGGCACCTGAGAAGGCAAGAAGAAAGTATCGATTGTTAGTGACAAAATTGGGTCGTTAGATTTTTGAGAAAGTTAGAAAATGCGAGTGATGTTTAATGATATTGAGTGATATTGAGAAAACATATCTCGGAACACGCAAAACATATAAATGGATTATGTGATATTTTATACGAGATATATTTGAAGTATTTATGAGATATATTTAAATGTATTAATAACTTTTTTTATAGATATCATTTTTAGAGATATCTTGAGTAAAATTTATTCAAAGCCAATATTTCGATTTCTTAACCATAAACATTTCCAAATATGTTCATAAACGAGTTCGATTTTCAGTGCCAAAGACGTCAATCGACATATTACATATGGGTTTGCGTCATGCGATGTCGTTGCCAAAAACGATGAATCGTCATAAATCATCGTCGTTTTTATATTGTCTCTTACGTCTCTCAATGATTTTGGATGGTTTCCACAAGATCATTATCAAATGGTCAAAATATTGGCTTCCCCGAATACTGACTGATTCTATATGTGCTATTAAAATCTTTCTATTGTCCCGAATTCCATTATTGTACAAGACGAAAATATCCTTGACCATTTTGAAATTATTTCTGTTTGACTATAATTTTCTCGGTATATAAATTATGATACCTGATGGCACACGTTGCGTATACGTATCCGTCGGTACATCAGGTGCAGGCACGGCACGTGGCACCGTTGAAAAATCCGGCGGATGTGTTGCCCTCCAGTAAGCTTCCAGGTACTCGGCCACATGTTCACATGCCTCCTCTAATTGATTCTCATCCAGGATAACATCGAACATCTCCGGCGGACATTGTGCCAGCTTCTCCGCGGCTACCATTTGTACATTAAGATGACGTATTTGCGACTTTCCTCGGGTCTTGATCAACCTTTGTAGAACTTTTGGCGAAGAAATCTTCAAGTAGACGATCGTGGGTGCTAAGCTGGTCTTCGCTAATTGCGACGGATGATTTATGGTATCGCAATCCAAAACAACCAGCTGAAATTGCATATAAATGCGCTTGATTAATTTATTCGAAACAGATTAAAATTCGTATTGAAATTATTCCTAGAAAAACTAATTTGCAGTATTCAAATAAATAAGTTAAAATATATATAATATATTAAAACTTTATTTTAGAATATATTTTTACAAACCTGGAGAGTTCTAGCAAGTTCGAAAATTCTTTCGATCTCTTGCTGAACCTCTGCTAAACAACTACTCCTACTGGTTGACCGCTCCATAATTGCTCTTTTAGTTGGATTGTTCAGTAACGATCTCTTCGCTAGTGATATATCTGCCATTACCCTTGTTATAATAATTCTATAATAACAAATTACTTGTTACGTATCTCGTAGTATAAAAACACACAAGTTTTAAATATTTAAAAATTTAACATGATATATTTAATATATATAACATATTTCAATAATATATGAAAAGAGAGAGATCGAAGATCAGATTTAGCTATGTAAAAGCGTAAAAGGAATTAATGGTAAATAACATCTATTTTTCCTTGTTAGTTGAGAAAGTCAACCAGCTTAGAATTAATATAGCTATCCGTTTTTTCTCGTTAGCACCAAAAAGAGGTCAGTCTACATTAGGATAAAGGTGATGTCTAAAGAGTCAGTGACAGACCTGCCTTCGAAGCGATGTTTCAGAAAATCGAAGAGAGCTTTCTGCATCATATCCGTCACTTGATAGCCCTTGAGTGACGGTCCAACCAAAACTACGGGCCTCATGGAAGGTACCACGTCGTAGGGAGTCGTCGTTTCCTGAAAATCCAAGCAAACGATTAGTTCGACCAATCAAGACGAGGCCCACTCGCCGGTATCGGCCCCAGGATAGTCTCACTTACGTAGGACTGCGTGAGCACGGTATGCAACATTGAAACATTGAAATCAGTTAATGGCCACGTCGACTTGACACATGCGACCTCCTGCACGGCCAAAGTCCTTCCTTAAACGTGCAAACGCCCACGGGACATCCTCTTCAAGCACCGAAGGTACTTTGGCCAAGCAGCATGTTAGTAACTACGATATCGAGCTAAGGTATTAACGGCCTCCTACAGACTAATCGTTTTGACTAGATTCTACCTTATGGAACGATTTTTGCCGCGACACGCGGCCCCGGGTAGAGATAATCACTGGTCAAACACTATGTGTAGTGATAACGAAAAAAGTGATCAACAATGTATTAAAATACGTGGAAATATTATCAGTCGGTTCTAGTTATTATCTAACATTTAACATTATATATAATGACATTTTTTTTTCCGTTACAAAAAATTTTGTATAAAACACAATGATTCTATAAATTGTTTGTAAAATTATGAAAATTTTAATAAAAAAATTATTTAATTCACTTTAATAACAATTTTATAATAATAATTTTATAGAAGAGATACTTTAGGTATAATAAATTTATTGAAACATTTTTTCATTTTAAAATGTGGAAAAAATATCAAACTTTCTTTTCTTTAGAAATAATCTTTTTATATGTTTTCCCTTCCAAAAATAAAGATTTATCAGATCACTTTCTAATTGTTGAATTTGTAAACCATAGATTGTCGATTACAGTTCACACAATATCACAATATTGTTGATATGTCTAATTTTTCTAAAAGACTGTAAAAAATTCAAAACCGCGCTTAAAATCTTTATAATAAATATTATTAGAACTAAATATATCTAATCTTTAAAACACAATTGTAAACACATTATGTATTACAGAATTATAAATTTAAAGAAATATGATACTAATTAGATTTATATAAAGAGAATTGTGATATTCTTTAGCGTCGACTGATAAATTTTAACATTTTAAACAATGTCTGTACAAAAGCGTTTTTAATCATCCATCAAATTCTTGACATAATATTATCTCAATATTTTTATGTAAAATTTCATGTTCTTTTTTAATCTGATAATTTTTATAACTAGAAATATGAAAATAGTATTGCTATAAAAAATTGCTTTGGTATAGACAGAATCTAAAGTCGCAAAGTCGATTATTAGATAGAAACATTAAATAGGACTGTACGTCTAACTAGCGTGAGAGAAATGCATCATGCTATTGAACACGGCTATTATTGAATTGTAAGAAAGAGTATTAAATAAACTGTCATAAGCAATAATCAATACCGAAGCAAACAATTCTATACTTGTCAGACTATTTTTTTTTTTCATATCCCAGTGAGACATTTATTATTGTGCATGACATCATTGAGCATCACGCCAGTTTTTTAGTGTGCGTACAGCGTCTAATTAAAGTGTAAAAGCTCAAGAAGTGAAAAGCTGTGCGTGATGCGTTAGATATTCGCGATAGCACGGCCCGCCGAGCGTTTACCGGCTTCTTGAAGAAGTTCTTCCGTTTTTCCTTAGCGGGTGGGGTCGTCAGAGTCGCCTTGCCGGGTCGCACGTTCCCGACACTATCGCTGTCGTCACCTGTCAAAAGAATACGTTCGAGATTACTCGAAATCTTGTCTATATTTTGAGCAATCGACGAGTCCCTCTTTCTCTCAAAGAAGCTATTAAAAAGCACTCAACTGATGTGATGCAGCCTAGAGATAATTTGCTAATATATGCTATGTGTCTCTGCTTATAGTAGCGGCTATCAAAGATCAGCAGCCAGCTATAGCAGTACTAAGAATCGCATGTGTGTGTGTGTAATGAGTGACACGAATACGGTGACTTATTTCGATGATTTTAGCAATGAAATGAAAATTAATAGGGCGTGTAAAGCGAGAGCACAATAGTGTAATTTTTTTTTTTCGCGAGAAAGTAGAAATGGAGAAGCTTGCATATCTCTGTGTAAATCGCAAGAAATAAAATAAAAATTTTAATTTTTTAGTATTAATTTACTGTCAATGTTGATATCTAAAATGCATTAAATGTATTAAATATTTTAGAACGAAGAATATTATTATTTGCAAGTGTGCAGTTTTATTCTTTATTACTTGCAAACTACACAGAAATGATTTCAATCTAAAGTTCTCGAGACGATATAAGCACTCGAAGCTGATGTTTGTATGTCTGAAATAGTGGGATACTTAGGATCTCAAGCGAACGTTATTCGTCACATTTTTTTTTAACGACCGGCCTGTAGCAACGATCCGTCTGCCTGTAATTCACTGTCGAGAATCAAGCTGAGAAAGTTCCCGATCAGGTACACCGAATTGGGTACACCGTGAATTTTGGGGGAAAGAAAGAAGGACGTGCTAGGATACCTGGCGTAGGTGGTGTGGAACCACGTGAGGGCATACCACTCTCGCCAAGGTTCCCTGAAGACCCTCCTCGCGTCGAATAGAGCCCCTTCGTGCCTCGCGCAGCGCTCGCCTGTAACCTTAAGGCCTCCAGCTTCACAGGTGATGGGATGAACCCCACGTCGCAATTCTCTTTCACGAGCCTGCCGATCCACCAGTTGTTGTCGTACTTCTCCTAAAAGCAAGTATCCGTTTATTAAGAAAGAAAATTTGTACAACAAAAAGAAAATACTACTGACAAAAAGAACGTATGCTTGTACCTTGATGTGAAGAAAGTCGCGGACGTCAAAGCTGACGGCCGAACCGTGAACAGGTGAGTCATCGTCGACGGATCCGTCATAGCTCACGTTAGTCCTCACTGCAAACGCTACCGGCTTCGACTGAAATATAAATAAAAAATTCACATGAACGTAAACGCATGTGTAATCAGCTATTTTATCTTGATTCATATCGACAAACGTTTTAATTCCTATGTTTGCCGGTCACGCGATGCAATATAGCATTTTAATATCTAACAATCTGTTTAAATTAATTAATTTTATTAAAACAACAACATTTTAAAACAATTTGCTTTATGTAATTTATTCACGATTATTTTCTCGCGAAAAGTATGCCAAATTATGATCGTCAACTTCGACGACAAAGGCGGTATCGTCTCCACGTACCACCGCGCTTAGTTACGTATCATCGTTCCCTTGCCCGTGTTATCGACTTTTCTATCGGGTCACGGTGCAACTCCTATATCGCGACGTGTACATAAACACGTATAACTATATCGCATGTATGGAATGGAAAATAAAAGCCGGCCACACCGCCAACGAGCTTCACGGCCGATCGACACATCGTCAGCCTATGCGTGGACGCATTTTGCTAGCGACAACACATCGTCGCATCAATAAAGAATAAAAGAGTATTGCGGGAGCTTTTCATTTTTATTGCGACGAGCTCTGTCCCTCGAAGGTCGGTCTCTCGGCAATCAATATCCGTTCACCGCTAAGCCGAAGAAGACTGAGTCGATCAGATCCTCGCATTTGACGTTCGTGCTATTTCATAATATCATCCGCGTTTGCCGTTTGATCCCGCAATCTGTCGTTATATAATCCACTAGAAGCGAAAATTTTTACAGGTTGAATTTTTTACCCAAATATTTATAAATGTAAAACTTATAACGCAACGTTGTAATGCAAGAGAGAAACGTTATATTACAAATATTTTATCGTTTGTAATTACATTTTAAATAAAAAAAAGAAAAAAACATTTTTTATCGAATTTGTTATTAGCAAATATTATCTGTAATTTGCTAAAAATTTACGAACACAGTTTAGTACTACGAAAAATGCCTCGCATGCACTTCTCTCGTAAAACACTTCTCAATATATGACTACCATATTCAAGCATTACTGTCGCATTACTCAATTGCAGATCTTGGATCGTATTTCTTCAAAGATTTATCTTTATGGCTTGAAATGAAGCCTTGAAAAAAGTTCTGCGAAGAGTCTGATTGGCACTTTCGGTTTCTGTCTTTTTCTATCATAAACTTGCAACGCAATCAACTGTGTCGCTTTCTCATACAAATTCATGATGTTTATAACACGGCGTAAAAATACGATAGAGATGATGAGATATCCACTCGATCGATAGACGATGATCCAGCACGCGCGGAATAATAAAAACGGTACGGAGCTGTGAGAGCAGAGCAAACTGGAGCGTACGAAGGATCAATGACTTACTCTGGCTTTTTCGAGTTGATTGAGGGCCTGCCTCTCCTTCTCGCGTCGCAAACTCTCCTTCTCCTCGTCCAGCGAGAGATCCGAGCTCGGCTGCGAGTAGTTTGAATCCGCCGAGCCCTGAGAGAAATCAAACAAGTCATCCATTAGAGATCTGCGAACTTTGGTATGTAATAAAAAAGTTTCAAACTTCAAAAAACTTCAAAAAATGTTATTATTTCTTTACATACAAACTTCAATTAGAGAACTTTTCTTGTTTGACATTTTGATAATTATTAATAATTTTTTGTAAGTCTTAAATTTGGTTTTAAGTTTTTTTCTCGTGACTCGTGATACTTAATCTCAAAAGTTTCTTGTCAAAACTTAAATAATTTTGTTTTTAAAGAACAATATCAAGATCAAGTATATCAATTCATCTCTATTGTAGAATATATAATGGGCAAATTATTTTGGGGCAAATAATAGAATTTTTTAATAAAATATTTTGTACGTATCACTTATAATAATCGTAATATATATTGAATGATTTAAGTTTACTTATTAATCATTCATAGTTTTCTAAAAGTTTGTATTAACCTATTAAATTAATATTAAAATGTGTTATATTTTTTGTAAATAATATAAAATTGCACAGCATTTATTTATTCTATATAATATAACGCTGTGACTTTGTCCGCAAGACCGTGACTGATAAAGTGCCCTACAACGCAGTTCATTACGTCTATCACGCCCTACAAGCATTGACGTAGATTACCTTGTAACAAAGGAAATCAGTCTAGTAAGCGTTAATTAGTTCCTGTTAAAATTAAATGAATCGATCGAGCATAGGAAAGAAGACTTACGCATGCTCGATATTCGTAGTCGTAAACAAGAAATTGAGACCAGCATGAACTTTGATTAATGTGTTAATGGAACCTAAAAGTCAGCGATCACATTAATTATTATTTCACCTGATTTAATGTCACAGATGAAATACCCACTTCTCGATTGTCAAATACATGTAATATAATCACATATTTAATATAGGAAATTTTTAACAAGCTTCAAAATTGTCATTTTAGACGTATCCCTCCATATGTCTATTTAGCACGTTTAAAAAAGGTACACTTCTTTATTTAATCAAGATATAAGTTATATTTTTTCACATTAATTTCTTTTATCTTATTTTTATGTTAATAGTATAATTATTATTTTACAGCAGTGGAAATAAAAGAGTGATACATGTAATACATGAATTCGTTCAGTGACGATGAAATTTTTTTAAATATATTACTTTTTAAAGAAAAAAAGCAAAATTATAAATAAAATATTTTATTCAAAAATGATTTTATTTTCTATTTTTTGTTCTAATAATATTTAAGATCGAAATGAGAATTCTCTTATATCATTATACTTAGTATTAATAATTTTTGTTTAATTGTTCAATTTATCTTATCACACTCAGCTTATAGCCTACGGCTAATACAGTTAACAAGATTGCTTCCATAGGATTTATCTTTTCTCAAAGAAGCTTTTCGATTAAACTCACTCGGTGGACGTGTCGTAGCCATGCCAACGACCTTCATTCATGTTCAGCTTTAATAAATGTAAAGATATTCGTGCTTGTGCAAAAGAAATCTTGAGCATTCTAATATTTATAAAATAAAAATAGAAGACTTATGAAAAAGAAAGAATGAAGTGAAGAAAATATAAAAAATGTATTATAATTATCAATCATAATAAAAGAAATATTCATCGAAATAAAAAAGTATCTAGAATATCATGTTATGTATTTTAATTTAATTAATCTTATTTTTTCAATGTCTTACTAAATTGCATAAAGATATATAGGCAAAGTTCAAGATATATAAGCATGTGAGTGTTTATACATTTATAAAGGCATTACAAAGAGAATATTTTATGTGTGTATATAACGCGCACACTGTGTGTGTGTGTGTGTGTGTGTGTGTGTGTGTGTGTGTGTGTGTGTGTGTGTGTGTGTGTGTGTGTGTGTGTGTGTGTGTGTGTGTGGTGGGTGGGTGGGTGGGTGGACGAGCGCGTGAGTGCTCGCGCGTGTGCGCGAGTATGTACCCTCGAGCAAAACTCAGCCTTAACGTTCGTCTTCCCACGAACCCTTTACTGTACGTACAAGTCTCGTTACTCGTTCCGGGATCAGAAAACACTCCCATTAAGGCCGTTTTACACGATCACGCGAATAACTTTGGTCGGCGCGCCAAAGCGGGGCATGGCGAGATCGCGTGTGCACCACCACCTGTCCAGCTCCAAAGAGCCATGTGACGCAATCGCGCTTGCGGTGATGAGATCGCGAAAATCCGGAATCCTATTATCTTCATATCTTATGTAATCTTATTGTTTTTAAATGCGGTACTTTTGTTCCATGACAAATAATGAATAATCGCCTAATTGTAGCTTACGACAAAAATGTATTGTATTTATAATATAATATACGAGTTAGAAGTCCCGCATTATTTTATATCAATCAAATCTTATTTGTAATAATTTTCTCAATTATTTATCCTGATTTCTCCTGAATTAGAACATTTTGAAGTAATGTAAGAAGGATTCGAAACGCTCATCGTCATCGTGCGAGCGATTATCCGCGTTCTGTGGACTTGGCAACAATCGCGATTTCATCGAAGAAGGATCGGCTCGGGGCACACGGTGTCTTTTATGCTAATGCATAGTTGTACATTCTGTGCTGGAGGCGATGCTAATATCGCGACTACGCTACGACACGTCCGTCGATATTTCGATGTTGAGTCACGTCAGAAGGGTTACATCGACTATGCCACGCTCTAAGAGCCATAGGAACAGGGAAGGAGAGAAAGGAAGGGGGGAGAGAGGGGGAGAGAGAGAGAGAGAGAGAGAGAGAGAGAGAGAGAGAGAGAGAGAGAGAGAGAGAGAGAGAGAGAGAGAGAGAGAGAGAGAGAGAGAGAGAGAGAGAGAGAGAGAGAGAGA